ATGTTAGCTCTCAAAAGGGCAGTGAATCTCCAAGTCTAGCAACACGATGGCCGGCGGAGGGAGTAGATCTAGGTGGGTGGTGGCCGGCGGAGGGAGCAGAGGGAGTAGATCTAGGTGGGTGGTGGCTGGCGGAGGAAGCAGAGGGAGTAGATTTAGGTGGTGGTGGCCGAATTACAGGAATTAATTAAGTGGTGGTGGTGGCAGAACACTCGACGAGGAGGAAAAAATCCGGCCAACAGAGCAGTTGACCAACAGAGCTTTATTTATGCGGTCAAATCTTTTGACATTAAAACGGAAACCCGTTTTCCGGTTTAATAATAATTAAATTAAAACAAGAAAACTGTTTTCCTTTTTTACACGTTTTTTTTTTTTACATTTTTACATCTAGAACTTAGGAAAATTAATTAAACTACTACACTAGCCCCTAATAAGCAGAATAAGCAAAACTAAACACAAACATATCAAACATGCTAGATTAAGAACAACTAAAATCGTATTATTGGAATCGTTTCTTCTAGGAGGCTCTTCATAACTAGTCACAATATTACTTCCAACAGGCACTGCCCCAATCAACAAAATTAGGTCTAGGACACATGTGAAAAAGACGACCGGGATTTTTTGGAGTGTTAGAAAGAGTGAACTTGCAAATTTCTTGACAAATCGGACAATAATATCTTTCATATCGCAAATAGTTGCTGGTGGTAGAAATGCTGCTTCTACTACCGGTTGACATGTTGCTTATGCACCTGCCAATTCAGTTTTGGTACATTTATAGAGCCATAAACGGAATTCTAATTTCTGTTTTTTAATAAAAACGGAAAACTAAATTGCGTTTTTTAGTTAATTATGTTTAATTAAATTAGGTAATTTCCGATTATCCTGTTCGACAGTATTTACAACAAATCGTTGCAATAACAGTCACAAAAAAACATTACTAATAAACAACAATATAAATATATCTAAAACTGAAAAACACACAATGCATCACTCCAATACAAATTTATTCTTGTCCGATTCACATTTTCAACAATCTCATTATTCAGACTTCTTCTACGCCTTCGAAACCATCAACATCCCAATTCACATTTATTCTTGTGCGATCAGCTCTGCGGTGCGAACGAGGACATTCCCTTGTTTTATGGTCAGCAGCGCCGCATCTCCTACATCTTCTGCGTCGACCCCTATAATCCATGTCCATCATGTATCGCCGCTTCTGGGTACGACCCGGACCCCTGTAAAGAACAAGATTTTTATAATCGGAAACAAGGTTCCAGCCTGGAAATGTCCACTCTTCTTTTCTTGCGACGGGCATAAATCTAAGATTTCAAAATTGCTCACGCCACGTTGTTGTCTTATGATACTCATGTATTATGTTCTCTGGATGATCACCAATTTCTCGGCACACACGCAAGGCATGTGAACAGGGAAGCCTGTAAGTTTGCCACTTTTTACAAGTACAACGCGCCTTACTATACTCCACAGTGTGAACATTCTGGCCTTTACCACCACGATGCAAGGCGGTAGTCACCTTGTATACAAGGTTTGGTTCATCGTACACTTCCACATCGTGACCAACAGCAGTATTCTCATACTCACAGAATTTTTCCCAATACTGATCACCAATAAGGGTATCACACCTTAAGGCCTTTTCATATTGCTCACGGTAGAACTTGACAGTTTTGGCCAATGTCGACTCCACTATAGCTCTAATAGGTAAAAATCGAATGCCCTTCAAGACATTGTTGTAACTCTCAGATATGTTTGTTGTCAGGTTGCCCCAACGTGCATAATCCAAATCATAGGCAAGACTCCACCTTGCTTCTGGAATAGCACGCATGTATGCTTGACCTGCTTCATTGCAGTCACCCAACTTCGCCCAAAATCTTCTAAATTTGTGCGCTTGCAACTTCTTTCCCAATCTCCAGGACACCCAAGCTGTTTGTCGCGGTTGGCTTTTGTGTTTGGACATCATATTACTCCGAACGTGTCGAAGACAATACCTGTGGTATCCCAAACCTGGTTCGTCCCACAAATCAGGATTTTTTTTCAGTGCACTCATTATCCCTTTATGCCGATCTGATAGGAGACATGTGACTCTGTTGAGGAGAACGTGGATCCTCAAATTTACCCAAAAAAATGACCAACTCTCCTCGGTTTCTTCATCCACAAGTGCAAACGCGATAGGCAGAATATGCTTGTTAGCAGTTTTCACCATTCCTACAAGTAACTTCCCCTTGTATTGACCACGAAGGAGCGTGCCGTCGATGCTCACAACTGGAGGGCACTTATGAAATGTCCCAATAGCAGGACCAAATGCCCAAAAAACATATTTGAAGGTCCGATACTCTTCATTTTCAGTCCTATCCTGCCATTTCCACTCAACAACTGTCCTGGGATTAGACTTCTGCAGTGCTGCCATATACCTATGTTATTTTTAAAAAAATCAGACAAACATGTTAAAATCGGTCCAGCAAAGTATAAAAACAAAAAAAAGCGCATAAAGTAAATAAATAAAAAAATAGTCCATAAAAATTAAAAATCGTACCACGGTAATTCGGTAAAATTATCGATCCAATTGCCCCACACCGCTTCAATGGCTTTTCTTCTTGCATGCCATGCTCTCTTGTACTTCACATCCACCTTATAATATTTCTTCACATCATCTCTTATTGACCTCACTAAATAATCCGGGTCTGTTTTAACATTACGCATTATAAGTCTGGCAATCACCCCGGCTGTTATATTGCGATTGTCATTTCCTGTAGTACGTCCCACGCAATTGTGTCGATCTGTCCAGCTTACAATTTCAAAAAGACCATGAGGCTTACGAGACGCACGCATCCTCCATTCACAAGTTGATTAGCCAGGTGGGGTTTCTATTTTTCTGGTTATGCACTCTGCAGCCCATGATTTCGAGTCAGAATATTTAACATAATGCTGTCTATTCTGCCAGGAGCTCCAGTCAGCCAGAGCGGCCCTAATCTCTTCCTTGTCGTTGAAGCACGTCCTTAAACCAATGTTTTCTTTCTTTCCTTTCCACATCTTAAGTGTAAATTCATCTCGGTCTATTGACGCAGTATTGAAGTCACCAATATCTGAATAAACATACTGATCTTGATAAGAAGTGATTAATTTTTCTGCCTATTGTTGTTGTTGTGGCTCTTCTTCTGCATCGTCATCGCCAGTTTCATCCGCCACAGATGTTTCATAATCACTTTCTTCTTCGCTTTCAATATAAGTACCGTCTGATTCATCATCCTGATCCGAATCACTTCCATTATTTTTATATCTGCCTTGAGCCTTGGTAACGAATCGATCCTCGCTGCTCCTGCTTGGCCCTGCTTCTACGTTTTGTTGAGAAGTACTCGTCCAATGTGCCTGTGACCAAAATGTGTTCGGTCCTACTTCTGTATATTGATGAGAAGTACTGCCCCATTGTTGTTGGGACGCAAAAGGACCCATCGTTGTCCAGAAAGATCTAATAAACTTTGGGCATGAACTATCCCTTCATTTTCCACATACAAATCCAAATTTGATGATCCAGGAAAATAATAACTAATTTCCAAAGACGAGTCATCTGTGATTGTCGCGGTCCTTCTAATACCGCTAGTTTCAAACAACAAAGTAATTCTCAAATTCACAGAATATCTATCCCATCCAGCTTTATCACAAATTCTGTCCAAAAACTCAGAATATGATAATTTTCGTTCAATAAACAATGTGCCATCTGCTCTGTTATCAAATGTTCTAATCGCACCATCCTCTACAACATACTTACTTCTCCAATATACATTAATAAAATACGGACCATTCCCCTCCATTTTCTCCTGTTTAAATGTAATAATCCATAATAAATTAATGTAATTAACAATGACATTAAAATAATCTAAATACGACCCTAAAAATCTCAATAAAAATATATACAAAATAAATTAGTCTAGATAACATATATAATTACTGGTTTGGTAAATCATCTCACCATTAGATATAATTAAACTAATTCAAACAATTAAAAAAATAATAAACGAAATAATACGTAATAAATAAGATTAAATCATTACTAACCTTCTTAATGATCTAAATGTGGCATAAAAACAAGCTAAAACGGCACTTCCTTCTCCAAAACTGTCCAGAATTGTATATTTTCCTTCAGATTCAAAACTGTCAAACGAGTAAACAGTGGAATCGTTCAATTATAAATGAACCATAAAACGGAATTTGAATTTTCGTTTTTACTGATAAAGCATGGTCCGACCAGTCCCGCTTACAGTGCGTCAGTGTCAGCACAATTATTGTTTTGCACATTCAAAATTATAAACGGAATTTGGATTTCCGGTTTTCGACACAAAAACCGAATTTGGATTTCCGTGTTTTCTGAAAAGCACTGTCCCCTGTCCAGTGGGTCAGTATCAGCACAATTATTTAGATTCCAATTCAAACACGGAATTTCAATTTCTGTTTTTGAACCTTTTTTTTTGCGTGGAAATTGATTTTCCATTTTTCGTCGATATTATTTACACCAATTTTATAATTTATTAATCAAATAAATAAAAATGGAAATCAGATTTCCGTTTTATTAATGAGAATTAGTAAAACGGAAAACCATTTTTCGGTATAGTAAAATTCTGACAAAAAAAAAAAAAATTATATGTCTTGTCATTTTTTAAACTAATATTCTTGTCCAACACCCCTTGCATGAGCATCAGACAGAGCATACATCTAATATTGGATAATTCACTGCTACGGATCACAGGTATATGAATTAAATGAGTAACTTGCATAACCTAACCCGAACCCGATCGACCTGTTTGATAAACACGTCAACCCGGTCAATCAAACCCCTTAGTTCCCAACGAAAAGTATAGAATAGCCCTTTTCTCGCTTTCCCTCCAGTCTGCCTGCCTGTTCTCGCTCTTACACACTCTTCTGTCACTCTTTAGTCTTTAAACCCCTCTAATCTCTATCACCCTAGGGTTTTCCGGTTGGAAGAAGCGAGGATCATGGCGTCCAGGGTTTTCGGTAATGGCTGTAGGAGGCTCATGGCAGCCGCTAAAACGAGCGTTGCCTCCTCCGCCGGAGCTTCCAAAGGTGCAGGTGGTGCGAAGAAGCCTGCTGTTGCTCGCGGGATCCTGAAGCCGCAGCCCGTTTCCCCTTCGCTTGGACAGTTTCTCGGGGCGTCTGAAGCTTCTCGCACTGAAGCAGTGAAGAAGATTTGGGACTATGTTAAGTCCCACAACCTTCAGGTTAGACTCCTTGAAAGTTGCATTGATTCCCCGTCATTTTATTAATTCTTTTTTTTTTCTTGGGAAATTCGTATCCTTATTGTGTATGTTGTGGATCTATTTTGTCGGTTTGAAACAAAAATTTTGTTTTTTTTGGAGGGGGTTTGAGGTCGTTTAGCCCTGGGTTCTTTTTTGGCAAAAGAAAATGATATATTACGGCTAGTAAGCAAGTATTGAAGTTGAGAAAATTGAAGAACGCATTCCCACGAATCTCTTATGTGTTTGTTGTCTTAGGGTTTGTTATGTGCATATGTTTGTTGAATTTATTTCATGGAGACTCGAAAGAAGCTATTGGTTTCATTTCTTGTGTTGAAGGGCAAAAATAAAAGGAAACTGTACTCCCAGTAGTATGTTTATTGTCTGGTTCATGTATGAATTCATGGCTTAGTTAACCTAAGTGAATTGGAAATCATTTTAAATGAAGTAGGATTATGGAGTTCCAGATGATCTGCTGTTGGTCGTAATCTGTGATTCTCGGGTATGTAGGTTCTGACGACGTTTGTTATTAACTCTATTTGATAAGTATTTTCTTCATTCCCAGTGCTATGCTTGTAGAGCTTAGTTGGTTGCGCTTTTGAAATAACTGCCTGAATGATATCAAAGGTTTACAGAGGTGAATTCATGGGTTCCGTTGGGGACATTGTGGATAGGTCGTATGAAAATTATATTTGTTCTCTCGTAGTTTGTTAGTAACTTGGGGTCTATATGAGTAGCATTTTCTTCATCTCCTAGTGCTATGCTTTCAGATCGAAGTTGGTTGAGCTTCTGAAACGAATGCCATTTATTTGTTCAATTGTATTCTGAATGATGTGAACTTTACTGGGGTGATCACTTGGGTTTTGTTGTTTATTGTGTCTATGTTTTGAAAATAGTCTTCCTCAACTCAACTGTGTTTTCAGTTGTGGTTCTCTGGCATTCTTTAGGTTTCTGTTATCTTTTCCTTTCTCCTGCTATTCGTGTGGATGGGATGCCATTCTGTTTTCATTGATGAAAAGCTTTCTGTTGATTTTACTTTGGGATTTGTAGTTTCTTGTAGTTTCTTGTTGGGAATATACTGGGTATGTTGTTGTTGTTGTTGTTGTTGTTGTTGTATTTGTGGTTTCTTGTTTGTCGTAACTTGAGGCCATGTATGCTAATTGCTCCTATGATGGAGATGAGAAAGCGGAAGTTGTATCTTTCTTTGTGTTGGTAAAGAATGTTATGTTGAAAAATGTGTTTGAAGCCTGCAAGAATGTTCTTCTGTTTTATGCAAAGATTACCTTTAGGACTTGTGCACAGAATTTAATTGGTAAATCCTACCATATTACAGGCTTAACTGGCCAGATTTTCTTAAAAGTGTTCTGTCTTTTGGTGTTCCTTCTTTTTCTTTTTCGAAGAAACTGTCTTGTGTGTCTTTTCAATTTTGTAAAATGTGGGATCTAGAATTACATTGGTTCGTCCACTTTTAACCTTCTAAACTGGACAAGGTTCATCTGTACAAAAACTAATTAGGCCTTTGGTCGTTGCTTTGGGTTGAAGAATTGAATGGTGCTCAGTAATGATGTCTAGTTGAAGGGTACGGGAATAAAGTTATGGTATTGAGCATTTAGAAGAATCGACCAATTTCACTATAGATGGGCTCAGTTTGATTCCACCTGTTCCTGTAAATTCTGTCCATCTGGAGACAGTTGTTTTTGAGCATGTTGCTGCTTTTTTTTTTTTTTTGTGTTTGTTCTTAATGCAGTAATCATGATGGTGAGAACAGAGTGCTATACATAGGACCTGATGATATATAGCTGACGGATACAACTATATAGTTTTCACAGTCCATGTTGTATGCTTTCAATGCATATGGAGCATAACTGACCCTTTTTTCCTAGTTGTTCTTTATTGTCATCTTGTAAACTACGAGTAAATCTTTTTTCAACTGCTAATAAGTTCTTGAATGTCTTCTCAGAAGGATTACGTATCTGTTTTTATGCCTTAAGTAGATATTTCTCAGGCAGTAAAGCTGATGGCTGTAAATAACACCATACTTGTTGCCTCATGTTACAGAATCCTGAGAACAAGAGAGAGATTTTTTGTGATGAAAAGCTGAAGATGATCTTCGAGGGCAAGGACACAGTGGGGTTCACAGAGATAGCTAAGCTGCTGTCGAAGCATTTCTCGAAGTCTGCTTAGGATTTGACTGAGAAGACTGCTCATGTAGCTTTTGTAGTGATTTTAGCTGCTGAATCATCTCGACTCTTCTCGTAACACCCTCTTCTGCTTTCGGAAGTTTATGAATTCTGGTGGATATTTAAAGTTAGACATGGCATGATTACCATTTTGGCCTTGATGTAAAGTTGTGCAGGTGTAGGTGATCAAACTGCTCTTAACTCTTACTGGTGATTTTTGCGTGTTAAATATAAATATCCCTTTCCCTAGCGAATTATGTTTTGTTTCAATGTGTTTACACTTCATTTTTAATTATTGTGTGCTTCCTCATGGCTTTTTCAATATGGTAATTCACCTCCTTTAAAGATGCTTTTAGACTAGTGAGGTAAGGATTGCAATTTACATGACATAGCAGAACTGTCTAAAAATTTTAGGAAGAGGAAAGTTTTTTATAGCAAACAAGCAATTCGTCAGCTCTGCTGTAAGGTACATTTACTAAGCGAGTTAATATTAAACTGTAATATTTGTGTTTCATAATCCGTCTTCATTTTGTCACGCCTATTTCTATTCAAGCCACTAACTATCTAATCATACTTAGCTTACTATATTGATACATGGATGTCGCAATTGAAAAGTTACGTCCATTCAACAAAGTACAAGTTTACATGGATTTGCAACTAAAAAGAATACTTCCATTCATCAAGTAATACTTCAATTTACAAAATGAAATCCAATTTTGCGACTGAGAGAGAGTATGAAGTAAATCAAGTAATATCCCAATTTTGCAAACCCACCAATATGATTATTATTATGGCAAAGAAAATGATGCTTTTTACCAGAGATCCTAAAGCCTTATATCGAAATATAGAAGCACAAAAATCAGGACTACTTTTGCAATAAAGGAGAATTTTTGTAGACGGATTTTCGGTTGTCTTTCATTTGCATTTGCTATCCTTTGAGTTTATCGTGGATAAGTTATTGTGGATAAGTCGAGGTAAAGTAAAGATTGCCTTCTTCCATTCTTCTGAAGCAAAGAAGTGGTGTTGCAAAATTACTCATTGTTTGGCACTTTTACGCTGCTGCTTTGGTCTTATTAGCATTCTTATTAGCAAAATTACTCTTTTTCTTTTGTTTATTCCTTCTGGGCTGCTCCAGAACAACGATGATGGGTTCAACTCCATTGAAGTTGCCATGTATTGCTCGGGTCTCGAAATTCAACTGTGTTGGTTTTTTAAGATCAGCTGCCATGGAAGATATCAGAGGACCAAGAAGCTTGAGCTTTAAAATCAGAGCAGTTACTGATTCCGGAAATGTGCAGGATGCAAACCAGGTCCATTCTTCTGCCATCTTTTGTTTTGTTTTGTTTTGGTTTTTTTTTTTTTTTTGAGCAGAGTTGTGCTACATTGGAAATATCTTGTTTGTTTAGTGATAGCATTACTGTTTTCCAGTGTTTGATTTGATAAATTTGTCTGACTGTATTGCTGATGTTAGTTGAGTACTAGTGAGTTGAATGGATATCCATTTTCATACTATGTGGAGGGACTCCATTGTACCTTGAAATCTCTATCAGACTATCATTTTAATCCGGATTTCACCCTTCTCAGGCTGATGGGAAACAAGGACAAAAAATGAGGACAATTTAAATTAAATTCTACTGCTGTATCATTTGATCAAAAGATAGATTAGTTTGTGTGATTGTATGAATTTATGAGTCTTATCATTCTTTCTTATTCTAGTTTTTGTACTACTTTTTCCTCATCTGCATGGTATTTTCGAATCGCTTTCTTCCATTGTTGAAGATAAACATGGATCTTAGCAATTTGACAGTCTGGTTTCGGGAGTTGATTGAGAATCTGATCATCAACTTCTCTAGTGAAAAATTAGGGAAAGAGTTCAACAATCTCTTTGTGTTATACCACAATCATTTATTCCAGAATTAAAGATGAAAATCTCTAATTCCTTTCACCTAATATGGAAACAAAGACAGGCAGACGGTAGTGCCAACATATAATACATGTTGATGGGTAAAAGTTATTCGCTACATTTCTGCACAAGCTTCGTCGCCATCTAACATATAGTTAATTATGAGAAAGAGGCAGAGATTTTCCCTTGAGATGTTGAAATCCTTGGGGCTGAAGTTTATCTTGCATTGTTTTTGCTAATCTGAAAATTCTGAAACGCATGAAAGAATGTGCTGCATATAGGTTCTTATGCCACATAATGCGAAAGTGGAATAAGGACACACCGTCTTTTACTCATGCATGTTCTTTAGTTTCCACTGGATCCATCCTGCGTATAGGAAAGAAATACTAAAGATGGATCCTATGTGAATAAGAAGATATGTTAGATGTCATACCTCAGGGCACTTCATTTTATGAGTGAAAGTATGATGATGCTTTAACTGTCCTTTGGTTTCATTATCCTTCCACTAAGCTCATTTTCTGCTGCTCTTCTTTGCCAGACACATCTCAATCTCCACTCATTTCATTTGTTTGAAAGGTTGAATTAGGAATAATGTGTGAACCATGTGGAGGCAGAGGATGGTTACTATGTGATTTCTGCCAAGGACAGAAGACTAATGTTAAGGCTGAGAATAAAAGGATTTATCGTCGTTGTCCATCTTGCCGAGCTGTAAGTGCTTCCTTCTTCCACCACCAATCACCCCCCTTCCCCCCCTCGTGTTTCCCTTTTGACTAACTTTTTGGTAACAGATATTTCATCAAGCTCAGCAATAGAATAAACACAGCTTGTTTTTTATGACAACAAGCTCAGTAGTGCTTACTATGGGTATACCATTTCTGCAGATTGGGTACATCCTGTGTTCAAAATGCAAAGTTTTTAAATGTGTTACATTCCCTGATCCTGATGATGGCGTGGACCTAATGCTCTGAGCCTTTGTCCCCGAGTTCGGTTCATGTAGCTTCCATGTTCTGTGAAGCTTTCCATCAATCAATATTTTCTTCCCGCCACATTATATATGGTTAGAGTTTTATTTTCACTCGACTTGACAGATTCTTTTCTATCAATCTGATTTGGTGTCGCGGGGGCGCTAATAATCTTACCTTCTCTGTATTGTTTACCCTCACAATTGAAAGAAACTAGTGTGTTTTTTTTAATGCATTGCTTGTATCCATTTCACTGTTGATTATGTATCTGTTTGCGTTTCGTGCTTCATTTTGGTCCCGTTGGAGCTTTGAAACCCAAATAGTATAACTCCATGACCAGATCAACCTGATCTTGATTCCAGAACTTCCTCTGCAACATGCACAGCCATTACAGCATCTATTTTTGAACATATGAAATCAATTCAGGATCAGAATCTTAAATGAAATTGTAATACTACAATATTGTTCGACAATGATAGACAGCAGCACATTGAACCCCGAAAGCATATACACCGAAATATAAATAGGCTAGACTCGATGACTGTGACACAACTAAAGCTACTTCTTTCCTGAAAAGGAGTTTATATTCTTCTCAATCACAGGCTTGGGCTCACCTCCAAATCCTAGTTTCAAAAAATAATATTAGTTGTTAGATCAACTGATGAAGTATAAGAATATGTTCTCCAAGTGAACCGTTTAAAGATTATAAAGAGGTAGCACGTGATTGTTTTCTGTCTTCTGGAAGTTTGCTTTTACCATATTAATCATAGAAGTACTTTGCACCATTAAAGCACCAACATGAACCCTCTTGAAAACCTTATTGGATAATGTAATGTTGTAGTTTTATATTTCGATATTATTAGTCCGAAATCCGAATCAGGATCGGAATTGTCTGTAAATTTGCGATTATCCACCCCTTATTTTATCTGTAAATAAGTAATGGAGTTTATCCGTTCTTGGTAGATTTAGGCTCATACTTCAATCACTTAATTTATTTCAGTATTTAACAAAATAGAGTGTGTGTGATAATCACTATGAAAATGTCTTAATAAATTAAGTTATGAACTAATTAAATTCTTATGAATTAAATGAGTTCGATAACTAAAATCTTGCCATCTGAATTAATTAAGTGGGTCTGAATGTCAAGTTTAATTGTTAACCAAAAAATAAATGATAGGTCTTCCACTTATCACTTATCACTTTATCACTGAACACTTATTTTTTGTATCGATTATCTTTTTCTTCTTTTCTCCTCATCTTTGCTCTTAAAATGGTCTCTATAAAATCTATATTTTTTAATATTTTATTTTGTTAAAATAAATAAAATGAGACCGCTCGAATTTGAACTTAAATTGTGAGTATAAAACAACAACAAATTTGCAAACTCAACATGAAGTAACTTTTGCACATGAGTTTTATTAAATAACAAGATATCTATATACATATATATATATACATATTTTCTAACTTTAATTGTTTTAATTTTCTACCAAGTGTGTTATCTAATTTAATTATATATATGCAAAAAAATCATTTTAAAATCATTATTTTGTTATTTATGAAAAATTAATAAATATGCTTTTCATTAAAAATAATATATTGTAATTTTGATATTAACTATATTAAAATTTTAAATAAACAACTAGACCTAAATATTCAGATAACGAAAATTGTACATCCATTAAAATTTATAGGGGAAAAACTTTTTCTCTCTCTTCCTTACGTTTCTCTCAGTGCATGTTAGCAACCAGCTAACTGGCACTCCGCCATGGTGAAAACTGTGAGGAGAGAGCAGAAAAAAGCTGTAAATGATGTGAATAAGGAGAAGGTGGATACGATAGAGGAGGAAAAGGCGAATCAGATGAAGAATTGTCAATTGACTAAAGCAGATCTGAAGGCTATTGCAAGGGAGCAAAGCCCTAATTTGGATAAGAGGAGTCTGAATAAAGAAGGTGGCACTGAAAGGCGAATATCCTAGGCAGATGCATCGGAGAAATTACCGAACGATAACCCATGGAAGAACTTTAATGTTTGAGCAATGAGGGGAAATGAAATGAATCTAGAGTTTGTGCCCCCGGAGGAAGTAAGCGGAAGAAAGATCTGTAAAGTACAAGCCAACAAAGTAGAAATTGAAGCCAAGTATTTGGAACCGTTGATTGTTTGCTTTGTGTTGGGGGTGAATTCGTCATATGCTGTCATGAATAAACACATCAGAAATCTCTGAGGACATTTGGGCGTTGATAAGGTAATTCTCTTTCCCTCTGGTTTATTTCTGGTACGATTTGCATCTCTGCATGCTCGTGATACGGTGTTGAAGTATAATCCGTACCATCTAGGAAGTAAACCTCTCGTGATTAAGGCATGGTCAGTGGAAAAAGGGATCAATTACAGGGAAATTAGTCGGGTGCCTGTATCGATTTAGTTGAGGGGACTTGAATTGAAATACTGGAATAATGATACTCTAAGTAGATTGACTAGTATACTGGGAACTCCTATAAAAACTGATGAAGCTACGGCTAATAGAGATAGAGTGCAGTATGCTTGGATAATGGTGGAAATGGAAACCCATGAACAACTTCCAAATGTATATATTTTGAAGATGAAACAGGGAATATTCAGAAACAAAGGGTGACATATGAATAGAATAAATGCTGTAAGGGATATTGGCATTCTATAGAATCCTGCAGGGACGATGCAACTAAGCAGAAGATGAAAGAAGCTGTTAATGGAGATTTAAGGATGAAAAAGAGGAATGAATATTGGAGTCACAAAGGAAGCAAAGAATAAAGGGGTAGTTATTAATAAATCTGAGGGCAAAGGAAGCCATATCAAACAACCAGGTGGTGTGGTTGAGAGAAGATACATGCCTATGGTTATAGGTACTATGAATGAAAAATGTGGCTAGAGATAAGAGAATTTGGAATAGTATGATATCACAGGGAAGTACTTCATGCAGTAAAGAAGAAGGGGAAATCATGAGAATTGAATGATAGCCTAGTGGTTAGGGTGCTATCTTTTCTAGTAATAGACCAGGGTTCGATCCCACCATAGAGTTTGTAGGGGGAGGGAGAAGGAATCTTACTCACATTTAAGTGTGGTCCTCTAGGGTGGATATATATATATATATATATATATATTAAAAAAAAAGATGGGGAAATCATAAGTGGGGAAGCTAATATACAAGCTCTTCACCCTGATCCAGAAATCAATGAGTCGCCTATTAGTCTATAATATAAGTGGCCTTAATTCCCCTTTAAAGCAGAAAGAGTTAAACAAGATTTTATCTGCAAATAGAGTATCATTAGCATATGTAGTGGAGACCAAGTTAAGCAAGGAAAAAGGAGATGAGGTGTTTCAAAGGTGGTGGAGTAACAAGAAATCGTTTACTAGCTATGGATGTAATGACAAAGGGAGGATCAGTTTATTATGGGATAACTCAGTACAACTAGAAGTACTAAGTAGTAATGATCAGAGGGTTCACTGTTTAGTCAAGCTAGAGGATATGGATTTTCAATTTCACCTCACAGCAATATATGCCTCTAACAACTGGCAGGAAAGAAAAAAGTTGTAGGATGATCTAATGGAAGTGAAGCAATCCATTCGGATGCAATGGCTTGTGACAGGTGATTTTAATAATGTGCTGAAAGAAGAGGAGAAAGTGGGTGAAAGGCCAGTGATGCTAAGTGAAATTGAGTACTTTCAAATGTATGTAGACGAGTGTGACTTGCAAGATATGAGACACGTGGGAGCTCAATTCACTTAGTGTAGCAAGCAAGTGGGGGTTGATAGAATACTTGCCAAGTTGGATCATGTCATGATAAATGCAGAATGGGTACGCCACAAATACTTCTTTAACAACCATTCTAGAAGAGGGTGTGTCTGATCATACTCCCATGATGATCAGAGTCCAAGGGGAAATTCTAAACAAGCCAAAACATTTCAGATACTTGAATTTGTGGAAGCTGGATCCACAGTTTCAAGATATTGTTAGTACAAGTTGGAAGGCTCCTGTGGAAAGCACAAAAATGTTCCAACTAGCTCAGAGACTTAAATGATTGAAAAAGCCTATGAAGCAGTTGAATAAAGGGGTGCTGGCTGATATGCATGTTAAAACCCAGAAAGCATGCAAAAGGAGGATTAAACTTGTAGGAAAAGGACAGGGAAGCCTATGGTGAATGGATTATAGTAAATAAAGCAAATGAACTATTTCTGAGCCAAAAAGCTAAAGAAGATTGGATTAGAGATGGTGATTCAAACACTGCATTATTCCATGCAAAGATCAGGAAAAAGATCATGAGGAGCATTTTATCCAATTCTATCAATCTCTATTAGGGAAATCAGCAGAAAGGGTCCAAGCTGATAAATCAGTTTTCGAGCAGGGGATTACACTCAATACACAAGATCAACTGAGTCTTATCAGACTGGTGACCAGAGAGGAGATCAAAAAGGAATTATGGGGAATTCACTCCAACAAAAGCCCAAGTCCTGATAGGATTGGCAGTGATTTCTTCAAGGAGACATGGAATATTACGGGGAAGGACCTCACAGATAATGTACTGGAATTTTTCGATAAAGGTCAGCTACTCAAACAACTCAATTCTACTGTAATTGCTTTGATTCCTAAAGTTGAAAACCCATTGAATGCTAGTCAATATAGGCCCATTTCTTGTTGTAATGTTGTATACAAATGTATTACTAAGATTCTTGGTGATAGACTTAGTGAAATGGTGCCAAAGATTGTTGCGGAGAATCAAAGTGCCTTCATTAAGGATAGGCTTATCTTGCATAATATCCTTATAACGCAAGAGATGATTAGATCATATGGGAGGAAAAATGTTTGTGGGAGATGTATTATGAAAATAGATTTATAGAAAGCTTATGATTCGGTTCAATGGGGGGTTTGTGAAAGAATGTCTATATGACCTAGGTTTCCCTACAACTTTTGTGACATAGATCATGACTTGTATTAGTTCACCATCTTTTTCATTATGTATAAATGGTAGTAC